TTATTTGGCATTTGAACTCCTTTTTTCTTTTCATTAAGTGACGTTTCTCTAAAGAGTCAGCATTTAGATCAAATTAATTTTTTTAGCATAGTGTCTTCACAGACTATTAAAAATATGGTAGGATATGCTGATAAAGTTGGTCGTTGCAACGCATGGATTTAAAAAATTGTTTTTAAAATCCAGAAATTAAGTGAAGCTCATTTATTGCCACAAAGCAGGCTGAGCTTATAACCAAGGCAGCTGTTATAAGACAAAATGCCTGAAACATGGTTTTTGAGACATGGTTTTTCAGTTTAGCAGTTGGACAGTACCTTGCCATACAATTGTGCATAACTGAGGGAGAGTGCAAGGAGCCTCCTGCCCACGTTTTACCCTTTAGGGGCACATCACAATTACAACTCTGCACTCACCTCAGCCCAAGGACTCGGTGAGGCTACCACATCTATAGACCTCAAAGAAGCAAGCAGAATGTGCATGTCTTCTGGCTTCTATACCATACTGCTTCTAACATGGGGCAGTGCCTATACAATGCAATCCAGTACTAGGTACTGTGCAACATAATGTGTCTTGATCTTTGTTTAAAGAGCAAAAAGTATTTTGTAAAGGAATGTTACCAGGTTAAAAATCTTTTTGAAACAAACACACTTCTAATATCTCAGATGATTAAAACTGAAAATATTTATTCTGGTTTATTTTCAGTTTTTCATTTCTCTGCCTTTGACAACAAAAATCTCAGTTTCACTTTTAGTGTCTCAGTGCTGATTGAACTGAAACCACTGCAGGGAAATGATTATTTTTGTTGCGATGGAAAATTATGGAAACTTTTTTATTGCTCTCAGGTTTTGTAAAATCTTCTTGTCACAAGATCTCATTTAGATTCAAGTTTGACTTGACAATGTCCTTCAAATAAAAGATTATGCATCCATGATCTTTCACTATTAATTCTCTACTGTGCCATATTTTGTACAATTTGGATTTTTATGGTGCTCGTTATAGTATGAGGGCCCGATCCCGCTCACCTCATACTTGCAAGCCTAGATTCAATAGTCCAAGTCTATTCAGCAAAGTATCTCAGCACAGGCTTACTCAGTACAATGACATTCCACGACTGTCACTCTTGTGTGTCACTCTGAAGCCTAGAATGTCTGTACACTCAGTGTGAAGAGATGAAAACAAGTACAGGTATGGCTGAAAGCTCCTTTTGTTTATACTAGCACCAGGTTCAATCATCACTGGGATTGGCAGTCTGTTACCATTCAGTCTTGAAGTTCCCAGCCATTTTGGGTCCTTTTTTTTTTTTTTTTAAACCCACACAGACGACTATGGATTACACTGAGGCAACAGCATGGGCTTTCAGCATGGGTTCTCATGAATGGGACTAGTTCTTCAATGGGACTTGTGCAGCATACACATTGCTGAACTAGGACCCACAAGTAGTACCACTGAACAAACTGAGATTAATTGCATGAGTAAGGCAAGCAGGATTTGTCCTTTATGTTATATGCTATAACAAATTTAAGATAAATATTGGACTCTCTCTGCAAATATTTTAGAAGGCAGGAAAGCTCCCATGTTAGTTCTACTGTAGATATGGGAAATTAAGGAAACCTACCTGTGGACCTGGTGTTCCTCTTCGACCTTTTGCTCCCTGACACAAGACAAGATAGATGTTTGTTAGACATCTGTTAGACCCTAGTTATATCTCTCAACTAAATGGCAAACAGTAGAGAAGCTGTGGCAACTGTCAATTTTTTTTCCAGATAATTTGATGTTCACACAATGCTTTACTACGTGCTCAAGTTACTGTACATGCTAGAACAGTGATTGAGAGCAAAGCAAATGCGAAAGTTATTATGGATGTGTCAGGATATTACTTTGCTATCACTTTTGCTTACTGCTCACACGCTTCAGTCCTGCTGTGCCAAGAGAAGGACTAAAACATTCATGCCCTGTCCACCCTGGCAAAACAGATGTGTTTATAACATTGGTTTTGGCAGTAGAGCTTAAAGACATTTCCCACCAAGCAGAGAGAAAGGTTCCCACCTCTTTAGTCTGTTCTTATTGGTAACTGTCTATGACAGAGTGCTAGGCAAGAAAGGCAGAGTCAGCACTCTGTTCACAGCAGCTCCAATCAAGTGTAAGCAGAGTCAGGATGAGCTCTACCCTGACATCTGGTGGTGAATTATGGCGAGTGTGGAAAAGAACTCCAGGGGCTGATCTGGTTTGCATAGGCACACCCACTCGCCTGGCATGAAACAACAGCAACTCAAAGTGGTTACTTTGGCTGGTGTGGGATCCCCAGTTTCTCTGTTATTGGGGCAGGAAGAATAAAGTTTTGTTACCTGATTCTGTGAATCAAGGCCAGTGGAACTGTTGTATGAAAGAAGGACTGAGTGAGTCCTTCACCATTACCTAAGTAGCACTTGCTTGACAAGGGGCATGGGTTACAAAACCCAGTGAATTGAGAGAGGATGGGGTTAGGTATTTATATCTGATGGTATGGGCCCTCTTTGAGGGTTTGAAACACCAATTGCACTACCTCCTCTCTCCACTGTTGAATGTCAGAGCTAACTTTGATTCCATTAGGAGTCTAGTTACAGACTGCTGAGCTGAATTCACTTTGGGCCAATGGTGCACTAGCACTGGGGCTCCCCTACTATACGCTAAGAGCTGAAATCACAAAAGAGCTAAAGTTATTAAGAACTGAGATCACTGAGACTGTGTTAACTAGTGGGGGAGCCTGAAGCTATATTGCTAAGTGGCTGGCGGAGCAGCTAGTAGAGTGGAGCTGAGCGACTCACAGGTCGGTGAGCAGGGCGGAGCGGCTGGAGAAGCAGCGAGCAGAGCAGAGCCTTGTGGGAGCGGCCCAAGGAACAGCTGAAGTGGAGCAGAGCTGAGCGGCTCACAGGTCGGTGAGCAGAGCGGAGCAGCTGCCAGAGCAGTTCGTGGACGGCGGGAGCGGCTCATGGGACAGCTGGTGGAGTGGAGTGGAGCGGCTCGTGGAGAAGGCTGCGGCGGAACCCCACGGAGAGGCAGCCAGTCTGCCTCGGATCACGTAAGGTGCCCCTTAACACCCTGCGTGCCTCCCCCCTCCCCCCGCTTGAACTCTGGGGCTGCACTGACCAGGGACAGAGA